GACAGATAAATTATAATATAATCTAGTCGGACCTAATTATTTTTATTTTTAATTATAATCGTAGATATAAAACCTTGTAAAAAATAATTATGATATATTTATATTTTTAAAAATTATATGTAAAATTTTTAATATTACAAATATACGAATAAATATTGTCCCAACTATCTAAAATTTCTGGATCCATCACTGACTACAAATATACGAATAAGTATTGCCCCCACTATCTAAAATTTCTGGATCCATCTCTGCCTATGATTAATATAAACAATACTTAGATATATGCACAATAATATATATAAGTAAAGAAGATTCACAACAACTAAAGAAATATAATAATTGTACAAGCATATGCATATACAAGATTTAGTACTCAACATTAATTCTAAGTTTTAGTTAAGTAACACAATTATACCAGCTACATTAGAGTAGCCCAAAGAAATATAGCTCTACCACCAACATGGCCTCAATACCTGACATAATGCCTTTAGTCCAATCCTATCATGTTCCTATGTAAATATGATCATCGTAATCTAACCACAAAAAAATATGCAAAGATAAGCTAGTATTCAAAAGAATAGTCATGCAAGAAATATAGAAGTAAAGACACTTATACCACCAACACTCACATGTAAACCACTCAACATAGCACCTCGTGGTCTATAACATAGCAACATAACCATAATACCTCAACATTGCATTCAACAACCTTATAAAGGTAAATAACTTGATAACATATGATAATTTCACACTTTACCTCATTAATGTCATTTAACAATATAATATGAACTACATCATGGTCAATCCATCATGTTGATTCTTTTAAAACTCTTGCTTACCCTTGCATGTTTTCATGTAATTGAACTGTAATGATCATAATTGGTATAAGAGTATAGCATAAATAAGTTATTATTTGAGTTTCTTTTGAGGCCATGCTAGTGATGACAATGTTGATTTTTGGACTACTTTAGAGTAACTAGTGTGATCGTAGTGTAGCTTGACTAACACTAGAATTTCTTTACATACTTTAGTTTAGGATAACTATGTATATGCATATATATATATATATATAGATATATAT